AATATACCAAAGTTATGATACATTAAAAGTCTGCTGATCTGGGACCAGTTTGCTTGTCTTTATGTGGAGTGGCACACTTCACAACATTTCTCTTTGCTTGTTCTGACGCTGCCTCTTGTTCTCCCTCAGTTCTAAAAGCCGTCGGCTCGGCCTCGGCTATCGCCTTCACTGTGACGACCTACCATCGTTCGCTGCGCTTCTTCCTGCCTGCCAAAGAAAACCAGAAGATAACCTCATCAGTCATCTGCTTCATCTGGAACCTGGTTCTCATCTCTTCTCGTCTCACTGCTCTCGCTCTTTTCGCCTCCGTGCTGCCCTGCTTCATCTTTGCCCACTTCATCTGCTCTTGGTTGGTTTTATTCTTCTTCGCTTGGCGATCCAAGACGGACTTCATGGAAAGTCCTTGTGGAGAATGGCTTTACCGAGCCACTGTTGGCATCATTTGGTATTTTAACTGGTTTAATGTGGCCGAGGGGAAGACGCGGTACAGGACTGTGCTCTATCACGGGTATATACTGACTGATATTTGCATCCTCTGTGCTGTGTGGTGCTGGAAGATGAGCACAGATCCTCCTGATTTTGTGATAGAGCCCATGCACGCTTTAATCACAGTTGCCTGTGTTGTTGCAGTTTACATCCTCGGTCTAATACTTAAAGTTATTTATTATAAAGTCTTCCATCCAAACCTTGACAAAGATGAGCTGAAAGGGGCCAGCACAGAGCAGCTACCTGAAGATGAGGTAGGATTTCGTATGTTTGCAGTTGCAGCAAACATGGCAGACCACCATCCGTCTGACCCATCAGCACACTGCAATAAAAGAATGAGGAAGCTGGCCGAGAACTTTTACTCCTGATGTGCACTGGACATCAACAGGACGACTAGAAAGAGACCGAGTCATGTAGAATGTTTTATTCGAGATCACTTGGCTGTGTTTTCTAGGACTCTGACCTTTTGTCTGATTTAGCCACAGATATAATGTCTCAAGGCATTACTCATCTTAATGTGGAGATGAATTTGAATATGCACTTTCTGCTGTGCATTAAATCCTTTCACTGTGTGTCAAACCATTTCAACATATCAGTCATTAAATTAAAGGGGAAATGAGAGGCTTTAATTATCAAATCTGTATTAAATAATTGTTGTTTACATGTGAAGAGATCCTTTTTCAAAGGCTGTTTCACTGGATCATCTTTTCTAAAGAATGTAACAGGTTAAAATTATTGTCAGCAGTGACTGAGTCTGCCATCCCTCCTCCCAGACAAGATTTCTACAAATGTCCATGTAATCAGTCTCACTGTGCTTAGCACTGGATTAAGTTGCTGCTATCATAAACTGAGCAAGCGCGTTAACAAAAAAACAGACATTTATAGCAATTTTTCCTCTTCACACAGTTAGCTGGTAGATGGCAGGCGTCTACCTGCTGTATATGTCTTGTTGTCACATCAGCATGTGGACATGCAATGAAAATATTCCTTACCCATATGAGTAAAGGGGCTCTGTAGCTTCATGATTAGTGTGTGTTTGTTTTGGTTTTTCTTACTTCACTTTGATTTGTGCACAGCTGCAGGGGAGGCTAACACAGCGGAGCTCAATGAGTTCATCACACCTCCACTGCATAAGACGTGTCGGGACCTGAGGTTGTGTTGTTGTGTGTGTGTGTGTGTGGCTGGCAGCTGAAAAGCTCTGGCCGAGAGTTCCTGGACATCCAAGCCAAATGTTTATCACTTGAAGAATCAGACTCCTTTTGAACATTATGTTGATGCTAAATATGTCTGTAAATATGGTGTCTGTATATTTATGGCCTATATTTGTGACTGTGTTTCTTTTGTAGTTTATTCCTATATGAATATTAAAAACTTGACTCAAAGTATTAAAAATGTATTTACATTGCTTTACAGAAAAAGGGAAAAATCATAGGACTGTGGGGGAAAGAGTGATTACCTCAGCTAAATAACCAGTGTTGACTATATTAGGTTCAGCTTTAAGGACCTCTGCATGTCTCCAAATGGCTTTGAATGTCTTTGAAATGAGAATAATACAAATAGAAAAAAAGAAAAGTGGACAAATGCTTTTAAGTCGGGGCATCTGAACATTTCCACTAAACTTTACATTTGTGAAAATGAC